CCAGACCTTGTGCAGGGTGACATCTCTGTAAAAAAAATAAATAATTTAGGTAAGAACATTTCCAGTTGGGTCAATGAGCCTAGGTATAGGGGAAAGAAAGAAAAAAAAAAGAAAGAGTTCATTTGTTTTTGAAAGCATGCGTTTTTAAAGGCGCCAGTCAGCTGCTGCTGTCATAAGACTGCTAGCTACTGCCACTAAGCAACTTTCTGCAAAAAAAAAAAAAAAAATGGCGTGGCCTAAACACATTACTCTGTGTGTAAATGTTTTTTTTTACACGATTGTAAATCATACCTTTGTCTAAGTTATGGATCTAGTCGTATCTAGAATTTACTGGTGATTACTGTTTTAAAAATGTTATCTTCATCATTAATACATCAAATGTTGACGTATCGTTGATCAACCTAACCTAAGAATCATAGATCTCTTGTTCACACCAGAACAATTTCTCAAAAGTACTTAATTCCTATTCTTTTTCTATGTGCCGTGTTTCTTTTCCGGAGGTCGGCGATAATTGATCTTCGCAATTTTATGTTCTTTGTAGCCGTTAGTAAAGCTTGTGTTTCTTGCTATATCTCTTAGTTACATTCTTACCGCCGTAAGACTGGTGGTCTGTGCCTTTTCTATAAATACTTTCGTAGGAGCTGTGGCACCATTTACGAGGCAGAGAAAGGAAGAGAAAGAAAGGAAGGCAGAAAGAAAGGCGAGACGAATCGTAGGTGATAAACAGCCACATACATGGCTAAGAGACAATGAAAATATTGATAAGTAACAAGTGAAAAAGGGTGTCATTACAATGACAGGGAATTTCTGAGTAAAAAAGACAAGGAAAAGAAAGAAGGAACCAGATGTGTTTTGATAACGGCTGTGTTATCTAGACCACTGGGCAGGGAAAAATTCAAGTGAAAATGCTATTTCGATAAGTGACGAGAAACAGGCCACTAAAAAAGGACTTTGGACAGATATGAAAATTAAATCCCACACAAGCAGTGCGCTGACCGAATTCTTTTCGACGAAACAACTTTTGGCCGGCGATAATAAAATTATGGGGAACCAGAAATGTTTTTTCTTTCTTCCTTGGAGGCGACAGGCTGACTGAAAACTTTGGGGATATTTCTTTTTTGAAGCCATGTTAAGAATACCACCCATCTTGATGAATTAGCGATAAGATACCTGACAAACACCACGTGTAAAACAAGAGTTGGCATATTGTCCGTGGCTAGAGAAATGATAACGGCGATTTAAGCGAAAGAGAAGAGATAATTTTTTTTTAGTTAAGCAAGATATTTTTTTTTCCCGAAACAAAGCCACGGATTGTTCCCGCCTGACTAAGACATCATTGGTCAAGTGGTGATCACGTGACGCACGAAGGAGGAGGAAAGATACCCGACCCAGACCTCATTGGCCGAGAGTGATCACGTGACGCACGAAGAAGGCTGTCGACGCCCCATCCAGAGTATAAATATGAGAAGCTGCTACGAAGAAGTGGGGAGGGCAGTTCACGCCCCTTAGAGGTATGGTGAGAAAGTGGGAGTGAGGAAGGGTTCCCAAAAATGGAAATGAGTGGAAAATCCCTAACCAGAAATAAAAGAGGTGGATATGTATTTAGAATTATCGAGGAACCCCCCGACGCCAACAAACCCAACCCGGTTTTGGTCGGCGCCAATAAAAGCGAGGCCCCAACAGGCAGAAATCAGTTCGGGCTCTGGCAGTTTCCAGTTGAGTTTCCAGAGTTCGGGCTCTGGCAGTTTCCAGTTGAGTTTCCAGAGTTCGGGCTCGAGTTTCCAGAGTTGAGTTCCCAGAGTCAGTCTCCAGTTCAAACCGCCTCGGAGATAGCTGACCAAGATTCACGCAAAATTCCGGACTCCTCTTCAACCCAAGAACAATTATTTTGAAGAGCGACTTAAAACCAAACCACAGAAATAAGTTTTTCGAATTTCGTCCAAAGACACACCGAAACGCCAATTTCTTAGAGAGCAAACAACTTGAAGAGTTAAAAACTTGCCTAACGGAAAACGACGTGTCACAATCCACAGAACGGGTCGGGAGATAGATGCAGTCCTATGTATCGAACAACTAGACATAAAGTTTGTTACCTTTTTCTTTGATACTTTGAACTTTTTGAGTTTTCATTTTAATTTCTTTTATACATATTTCTGTAGTATCACCCCTGTTCAACTCAATTTGCATTACGGCCCAAACCACTGTTTGATCTCGTCTGTCTAAGATCAATTCACAACGTGGGTAGGCAGACTGGAGATCAATGCAGTTACCTTGGTAACCAGGCGTTGGAAGCGAGTTGGGAACGACGAGGCTGATATCAAATCTAACCAGATTCCCACCCGAATCACCAAAAGGTTAGAACGTCACATTTGGGTGCCGCGACCGATACCAAGCCAGTTGATCGTCACAGGACGAGACAACACGACTGACGCGACAGGCGGACGTCACGTTTGGAGCAGCGACACCCAGACGGAGCAGCGAGGAGCGAACAGCTGGCGCCGCGGCGAGGACGTCTGGTGGTGCTGTTTGGGGACGTCACAACTGGCGCCGTGGTAGATCAGGATAGAACGTCACAGTTGGCGCTGCGACCGGCGGACGACGTCACAAGTGGTGCTGCGACCAAGATATCGGACCCTGGAACGGCCACGTCACAGAGCTCGTGTCAACCATCTGAAATAGTATACTATATTATATTGTTTAGGAGTGACAAGACTTTCAGACCATCTAGAAGCTTTGGCTGAAATAAAATCCATTTAAAGCAATTCTGTCACAGCAATATCCAGGGTGCGAAAGTCTTGTCACCGCGTATGAAAAAGTAATGAGAACAATGGGAAAAGTGATACAAAGCACATGTACTGGATTCAGTTTATTCACGTTCATTGACGCTGTCACACATCGAGATGATGTAGGAAGTGTCATCCATCTAAAATAGAAAATTCTATAATATAGGCGTGACAAGACTTTCAGAAAATCTTGTAGATTTGGTCGAAATAAAATCCATTTAAAACGATTTTGTCTCAGCAATATCCAGGGTGGTCCGAAAGTCTTGTCACCCCATCAGTAATAATAACAACACCACCACCAACAACAACAACAATAATAATAATAATAATAATAGTAGACCAAGTAATACAAATCACATGTACTGAATTCAGTTTATTCACTTTCACTGACGCTGTCAAACACCCAGAAGATCTGTAAACATCAATATTTTCGTGTCGGCCATCTGAAATAGAAAATTATATTGTGTAGATGTGACAAGACTTTCGGAACACCCTGTAGAATGACGGCAAGTTCTTATCTTTTTACAGTTGACTTGGCTAGATGTAACTCTAAGTTCTATGCTAACAGTTTCCTTTCTCGCACATCTCGCTTGTGCAACTCTCTTCCGGTTTCTTGCATTTCAGTGAAGTTTGAACACCAAAAATTTAAATGCAATGTAAATCTTTTTTCTTTTTTTTTTTTACTTCCTGTTGTTTTATTTTTTTCGCTCGGAGTAAAAAGGGCACTCAGAGAGAACATCGAAAAGATATAGTGAAATTTCTAAGCTATAAAACAGAAAAAAGAGTGCTTCGAAAAATAGACACACACAGGACACATTGAGGGACAGAATAAACAGTGCTTAACCTACCCGCTGAGCTTCTCGAAATGGTTGGCTGAACAGAGAATTTTCTTTTTAATCATTTCACTCCAAGCAAGGCAGTGAAGCCACTAAGACGCATAGATTACAGATTGTGAAAGAATAAAAAAAAAACATTTATGAGCGAAAAAAATAAAGCAACAAGAATTAAAAAGACAAGATTTACATTACATTTAAATTTTTACAACTCGTTTCAGATAAAGTACAGATTAATTAGAACCTGAAATCAGACGAATTTGTGCAACTTTTTGAGGGTCAACTGCTTGCACTGACGTCTATTCCACACAGAGTTGCCAATTATGCTAAGCTTTACTCGTAAATAAAAAGGAAAAATATATAGATAGTAATGTGAATTCTAGGTTCTTTCGATGCACAGTATAATTGAAAATGGCGTTGATCTTACCTTCCAAATTCAACAAAGGTCAATTGAGTGACTAATTGATTCGTTTACTACGGCTTATCAACCCATTACGAGTTATTAAATAATGATGTTTTTAGTAATATAATTGTTACTAATTAATCCGTATATGCAGGGGTAAGGGGCGGAGAAATACCTTTCGCAAGTATATTTGTGAGGAAAAGCATATAACGAATCAAACAGGATTTAGAACTCGGCTCTCCAATTAACAATTCCGAGCCATTATCCATAACCCCACCAATACATCCAAGTTTACATCACCTAGTACTCCTAAGCGGTCATCTGTCTAGATACTGATGTGGTCGCATATCCAAAAAATTAATCTGTGAGGAAATTGTTCAGTATTCTCTGCGATATAGATGAATTGATATTACGTAGCTGTTCTGTAATGTTTTCTTTGTTTCTAAGGAAATTATTGTATTGATTGTTTAGCAACCAACAGAGATTTAAAATTTAGCGCCTACCATACATCGACCAAACAACCTTGCCTCATGAATTATTCTTCATTCTTTTGTGACAGCAGTTCAGACCTTTACAGGGATACTGCGTCTACAGAGATGTACCACAATCATTTCCTTTGTATACGTAATGAATTTTCAACTCTGACAGCTTTTTTTTTCTCAAGAATTGCTATTTGTGGAACAGGCACCCACGGGAACACATCTCTGAACACTCCACTCTCTTTAAAACACGTTATGAATCGTTATCTATTCTCCTTATCCTTCTGATCTTCACTTTCTACTACTCTTCCCTATATTGATATCATACACTTCATTCAGTTATATTTTATCTTGGGTGGCCCCGGAGCCAAGTATTGCCTAAACTTTAACAGAAGAAAAAGAAAAAAGAAGGCAAAAGAAGCAATTCTTGATTTAAAAATTACGACATCTTCGAGATCATTGTCCAAATTAAATTTCTAGTCGAGTCCATTATACTCACGGCTTACAGCCATATCACGTTGAAACGCCTGTTCTCGTAAGATCACTGAAGTTAAGCAATGTCAAGCCTGGTCAGTACCTAAACGGGTAACCATTTGCGAATGTCAGGTGCTTTAAGTTTGGATGCGCGGGCGGTGTAATTGATTACGATTCGGAATTGGAAATTGGAGAGCCGAGTTCCAATTCCAGTCGTGTTCATTATATTCACTTACGTGCGGATAGTCTAAGGAAATGTATGAATCCACTTTTCTCCCCACAACTATGGGTTAATTAGTATACCTTTTATCAGTAAATCCTTACCTCCTGAAAAGTTCTTACAATCTAAAACTATTTTCTGGCTTTAAATAACCTTCAAGTGATTCACAAGCCGTAAAAATAAATAAATATATAAAACATCCATTTACGCTTAAATGCTCTTGGGATATATTCTCCCCACTAGCTATGGGTTAATAGTAGGACCTATGTCTGAAAATATTCTTATTTAAAAAAAAAATGTTAATCCAATATTAACCCCCACCAAAAAAAAAAAGCAAAGAGGTAAAAGAAAGAACAAGAATTATTTTTACAATAAAAAATATTTTGTCCTGGGTATGACGATAAACTACATCCGGTAGTAAGGCTTCTGATCAGAAGGTTTTGAGGAGCGTGGGACCACTTCTTAATTGCTGTTGTTCCAAGGTTCACACTGACCCGGGGTGGTAGCACCTGTTAGGGTCTCAGTTATGGGCAAATACTTAATCCCCAAACTGTGGTCAAAACACTATGAAAAAGTAGAAGTACATTTGTTATAGTGAAGGAGCCAGCAATACATTTTCATAGTGAAAAAAAAAAAAAAAAACAACAGCAATGCATCATAAATATATCAACCTGCTTTAACACACAGGTCGGAGACAGAAAAAGCAGAAGTAATGGCGAGAATGCAAAGTTTCCTGCGGGGAGATTTCATTCCCACAATGCACTGCGTGGAATCCGAATTAGCCACAGCATCGATCAGAAAATAGTTTTTCGGTAGGATGAATCATGAATTGCAAGTCTGCGGGAGACGCTAACGGGAAAAATGATTATGGAGTCTGTTTCGAATTTTAACAACATTTACCCAACTTTTAATAAGATGACTTAAAAATGCAGTCAGCCATGATCTTTGCGCACAAAGATTGTCTTGTATAAATTCAGGTGGATCTTTTATTCTGCATAATCGACGATATTTTTTTTACCTCCGGCCACGATAAAAGGTTAAGTAGTTATCTAGTCATTATCATACAGAATACAGAGTTAAACGAAGCTAGAATATCCTTGTACGTAGGTACACAAAATCGTATAGACAATTATGTTTCTAACATGACGCAGTTATATTCATGTTTTAATTGGCGTCTTATCTCACAAGTTTTCTTTGAAATTCTGATTCTAAATAGTTAAATAATTTCTTATAATCTTCATTGTTTTAAATCAGTTACAGAGTGAAACCTATTCCAAAATTAACCAGCTCTAGCTGATTGAAAACAAAAATTGATGCATATGTAAAATAACGAACAACTGTAAGAACGTTTCTTTTAAAAGAAAACGTAAGTGTATCATCCGGTACGGCAGTTTCACCTTTTGGATCACCAAATTGGTTTGGTTAGCTAGATTAACGTTAAAGACAAGTGAATAGCAAGCCTTGCACTTTTTCATTCGCCATTTTGCCCACGTGGTTTATTTGTATACATTAGTACAATAAATATTGACAACCTGAGGATTGGCCGATCGACGTTTGTTGGTTTTATTTATGACGTGTTAATACTGTTTTTTTTTTCTTTTTTTTTGCTAATTTTGGAACCGTTTTTTTTTCTCTTGAGTTTCGCTTTACTTTATTTCTGTCTTGAGTTTGTCAACTTTCAGCTGCTTTTTATTTTAATTTTAGTTTTCTACTGTTTTTTTTTCTTTTAACGGCTTACGCCGGATTTTTTATCTGGTATAATTTAGTTACATTTTCGACATACAATTAAAAAAAATGTGTTTATGTCGCTTTAGTTTTACTGGTGTAAATTTCTTTTACACGAGGCATTATTTTTATTTTTTTTTGCTTACGTGTTCTGTTTATTTTCTGTTTGGTCGAACTTGTTTGATTGGGTTTGACTGGGTCTTTTTTATTTCTTTCAATTATTTTGTATTCTTGTGTTCTGCAATAATCATATAATAATGGTATTTGTCACGCAGTACGTTAGTTCACCTGACCGTTACAGCCTGCTAATACCTCATGAATAATGGACTATTCCGTTTTAAACCAATGGAAAGACAAAATACATATCAGAGACTCTACTTGGTTTCAGTGAAAAAAAAAGGGACATTTTATAAAATTTGCATATATATATATATATATATATATATATATATATATATATATATATATATATGTTTTTGCCTATTAGCCATTTGTATAAAGTTTTATGTATTTTGGTAGGTATTCTGTTCGCCACACGAACGTTTTTTTTTTTTACACACACACACACACACACATATATATATATAATGTGTGTGTGTGTGTGTGTGTGTGTTGGGAGTGTGAGTTTTAGATATTATTAATTCTGAGAGCTTGATTTAATAGCAAGTTGGATAAACTAAATTATTGGTGAAACATGTTAAAGTTATAACAATATAGTCATGTAATAATCACGGTGATTTCCATGTGTTCTTCGGAGCCATATTCTAACTAAACCGCACTTCCTTATAAAATTGGAAAGCCTGTTGTGATACAATAGATTCTTCGAGTAAGAGTGCGTAATTCCAGACATGCTGGAACCAATCGCTAGGCAAGTGTGGCTGTACGGAGCGAATTCAATGATATGCTGAATTTGACACGCGTTTAAAAATTACGTCAAATCTAAATAGAACAACTCCATGTTCTTCTCGTACTCTACCTGTTCTACTAGGGACAGGCACTGATATACGGTAAAACTCACAGGGCAAACACCTGACTGAAAAATCGGTATTTTCTCTTCGAATATTTCGCTGAAACAAAACAGTGCAGTGGTTATAGATTATTATTACAGAGATTGATTTGAATCCCATCCGACCACAGAATGAATTTTTCCACTTGTGGAGTTTACATAAACATTAAGTAATGTTTTCAAGAAAATATTTTTTCTTTCTGAACTCTCGATTTGAATGCAGCTTTATGTTATACCATAACATACCTATTCTATTGTTAATAGACTCTCCCACATATAAAATGTAGTAGTAGTAGCAATAGCCAGGGGGCTCAGTGACTTGGTGAGTCAATCGATGTCGGACATTAAAGTATCAACCACCACAACTAGATTGCTGCGTCATTAACTATTATAACAAGTTCCTAATGTTTGTACGTCGAACCTTTTTAGGACCAACTTAGTGAAATACAAGCCTCCACTGTGAAAACGACTCTACAACACTTTAATAATGATATTTTTTCTATCCCGAGTAAAAAGAGAATTTTTTTAGGAACGACTAACCAACACTTTATGAGTCATTTAAAGCCGATATATTTTGTAAGAATAACTCTTTTTTTACTCCGTTAACAAGACTTTTGAGAATGACAATGAATTTTCCACATACAAGTCTTACTATTAAACCTACAACCAGAGGAAGGAGATGGATTCATACATTTCCTTAGAGTATTTCTGCGTATACGAAATAGACTCAGCGATTTCTCAATCGGAGCCGCTATCGATTACACCATCCACACATCGCGCCTCTAAAGAGAAAACATAAGTTTTTAAAATCTGGTCAATATTTTTTTTTTCTTAATTTCATTTTAGAAATATTTTCCTAGCTTTGGATGATTGTTAAGTCTTGCAAAAACATTCTGGGAGGCAATTAATCATATCCCAATTGCACCTGTTCCTTGTGTGCCATCTGAATTTATAAGTTGTTTCAATTCAGTTTACAAGTTGTTATGTCTTCCATCAACTTTTCTTTCGTTCTTGAGTACAAAGGGTATATTTCGAAATAACAGTTTCACCATGAGCTGCCACCACCAATATCATTATTATATTATTAATTCATTACCGATTTTGAATTGGTTTTCTGTTTTGTTTTCGTTAACATAAATCTACAGAAGCACACACACACACACACACTCGCACACACACACACACACACACTCTCACTCGCACACACACACACACACATGCACACGTGTTTGTATATGTGTGTGAGTGTGATGTAGGTCAAATATGATGACGTTTTTCGTGATTTCAATTCTCATTGGTTGCATAAAACTGTAACCATCTTCTGAACTAAAATAAATATACAAACTGACTATATATATATATATATATATATATATATATATATATATATATATATATATATATATATATATAAGCAAATATAAATGGATATAAATCCGACAGAATGAAGAAAATATCTGGAAAAACAAAACAAAAATCCTAAAAATGCGATTATGTTGTTTTAATATGAATGAAATGTCGACGTCTGACGTTTCGGTTTAATAACCTTCTTCAGGACAATATTCATTAAAAATACAATTAACATAATCAGTATAACACGACAAAAACGATGGACATAAAAACAAGTCTTATCCAAAACAGATAAAGGAAAATTTTAAATGATCAGCTTTCCGTTTGAGCGTGGTCACGTTGTCGTCAAATGGGAGACGCTTTCACAACGTATTCTTAAAAATTTGATTCCGATGGAAAGATTTTTCATATATACAGTTCGTTAGAAAATCTTTTCTGTTCTTGTAGGAATACGCGGAGACTAGTAGATTCCTGTATCTGTATGATTCGGATGAGCATGCAGTCCTCCATGTAATAAAATGAATTCAGTTTTGTATTTCCAGTGGACAGTATGATAAGCAAATATAAATGAATATAAATCCGACAGAATGAAGAAAATATCTGGAAAAACAAAACAAAAATCCTTAAAATGCGATTATGTTGTTTTAATTTTATTACATTACATCGCATTTTAAGGATTTTTGTTTTGTTTTTCCAGATATTTTCTTCATATATATATATATATATATATATATATATATATATATATATATATATATTATTTATTAAAGACATTTTTTATGTTTAACGTTGTTATTTTATAGATACAAGTATTTAAGCAAATGCTCTGTTTATGA